AAGCAGGCAAGCAGGCAAGCAGGCAAGCAGGCAAGCAGGCAAGCAGGTAAGCAGGCAAGCAGGCAAGCAGGCAAGCAGGCAAGCAGGCAAGCAAGCAAGCAAGCAGGCAAGCAAGCAAGCAAGCAAGCAAGCAAGCAAACAAACAAACAAAACAGGCAAAGAAACAAACAAAGAGCCAGGCAACCAAGCGTCCTCTGCGCCGCAAAGTTCGAGTCGATGTAGGCACCTGGGCGAGGTCAGGTCAAAAGGCGATGAGCACCAAAACAACACAAAGACAGGACAAGACAAGAACAACCAAAACACACCACCACCACCACCACCAACAACAACAACTACTACAACAACAACAACAACAGCAACACCACAACCACCACCACCACCACCACCACCACCAGCAGCAGCAGCAGCAGCCCATCAACCCAATCGCTACGCTTCAGAAATCCCTTCCAGAAGCTCCTTCGCTTGCTGCTGCCACTGCTTGATGCTCTTCGTCAAACAAGAAGTGAAATTCCAAGATGACTCGCTCTCCAAACTCAGCTGAAATATCACTTATAAAGACCCTAAGCAATTTCTACCTGACAGGTTCATTTAGAAGGGCCTGATAAGAGAAAAATTACATGAATATACGGCTAGCCACTAGACCGCGCAATGGTGGCTTGCACGCTTCGTCCCAGCTGTGGTATAAAAATCGGCAACCTCAAAGGGTCTTACTGTCAGCCCTGTAATTAAAACAACAAGGATAGCATCGAGCCAAAGAAATCATTCCTGAACAAAGCAGAATGGCTTGCAAATGAGATACACAACCACATACCCATAGAGAATGCTTTGAGTTGAACTCTGGCTCTTTCATGGCACTGCCACACGTGCCAACTTTGCAAATGGAAGGAGCGCCGACAGGCACAGCCATGATCACACAAACAACTGCAGCAAAATAATTGAGCCCCAAACTGTGAGCACACACAATTTTGTGTTGCAAGCCCTGGTGGAGGGTTCAGCTTATTCAAATACATCTCCAAAACAAATCCGTTATGTAATTTCATCATAGAGGATATTGATGTTCCTCACATGATACGCATTCAAACCTAGCGCTTTCCTAACGGATTTGCTAGCGCTACCTTGCAGAACTACTAATTTTAGCTGCGTGCCGCTTCTTAAACAATAGCAAAAAAGAGATCCCACTGTCATTTATCAACTGGCTAGACTAAAGTGGCTACACACTACTTTTGGGGAATCGTCAAATGCACACACCCAATCCACTGCGGAACGCTGCTGCCTCCTGATCTTTCAGGCGCTCCTCATCCATCGTGTGTCCTTGTCACAGACCTCGAGACCATGACGGAGTCGTCTGGCCCCACCTGTCTTCAAGGTGTTGGAGTTGGAGTTCCAGAAGATGATGTACAGGCCGTCCTCTGTGAACTCAATCTGTCAAGTAGCGCAAGTTTCCACGATCTTCACATCCTAATGGACCTTCTACTTTGTGTACACACCCTTTCTCCTTCATTTGGCCTGCTCGAAATTGCCAGGGCTGGCTGCTCTCCAACATCTACAGGGCTCCCATATAGTCCACCAAGCCAAAGTTGCTCTCATTTGTGTTCATGTCATTGGGCTTCACCTGTTCAAAGCCAAGTCCTCTGCAAGGGCTCATGCCTTCTCCATTGTTACCATCAGCACCTCAATCTCTTTCCAAGACCGTGCTGGAATGTCGTCCAGGTGGTACTCCAGGTTGTACATGGCCGCCATGGCTTCACCTAGGCAAAAGGCCATGAGCCATGGTAGCATCCTCGCCCCGGCATGGGGCTCCGCTACCATGACAAAAGCTGCCATCAGGCTCTTTCCAGCTTTCGAGCCACTGTGCCTGTCATCCTTTTCTGGGGTCATGCTCAAATCTGACATAATTAAACTTCATCAGAACCGTGTTTTTATAGAAACACATTCCCAGTTTATTGTAAGTGACAGGATGTGTTCAACTCTGAACGATAAAAGAGAGTTTCATGCTTCACAGAGCACATAGTCTGGAAATAGTTATAGTTTGAGTTCCCACTGACAGAAGCTGTTCATGAAGGCAAGAATTCTAGGATGCCAGACCTCTGAATATTCTTTGTATTCGTGGGTGCCGTTGAAGTCTCAGCCCCAAGTGTAGGCAAATCCTGAGATCAGCTTGAACTGAATTGGTGCGGAAAGTCGAAGGCGGGCAAAGTGTGGAAGCTGCAGTGCAGTATGCTAGTTTGCCTTTTTTTTTAGAGGCCTTTAAAGAAAGAAAACATGAAAAGAGCCCTCACCTTCGCACAATTCCCAATCGACTTCGAATAAACAAGCTGAGTCGACTTTACCCCGCTACCATCCGCTACCCAGTATGGTCTGAGGTAGGGGCAACAAACAAGTCTGTTCTAGAGCCCACCAAAGTGGCTTGGTGCTGCTTGGAACAAGCTCTTAATCAGCTTTAAGCTGCAACTTGGGCTTCATGAAGCGTTCACACTTCGGTCTTGCAGCTGTGGTTCATCCCGCCCATGCTTAAGCCATGAAGGAAGAGAGGCAACTGTCTTAATCTTTGAAGCACCTTGCAACGGCGCAAAGTTCAACAGCTAGAAAACAACAATGTTTTTCTCCAAAAAATCTACAGGCCCGCCTCTGGCGGGACGCCGGCATTGAATTCCTGGCAGTTATTTCAAGGTTCGCATAGTTGACGTGGTAGCATGTCATAGTGTTGTGACAGTGGGAATACAGCTATGAAAAGACGATTTACACCATAGCCCCAGAGGGAATCACATGTACAAGCCCAGCCCCAGACGCATTTAGACCTTTGTCTTATATTGTCGTGTGATGTCTAGTGTATCCTGCGAAGAGCCAAAACGAGGCAACAAGATGAACAAGCGGGAAAAGGGGCCGCAAGCACGAGCCACGCAAATGCTGTTGGGGCCTGAGAGCCAAGGCAGATGGGAGACCAGAAAAGCTTCCAACAGGCTGGTCTGAGGTGTGAGAGACGGAGGGACACAAAGACCAGAGAGGCATTTAATTGTCACCTGGGTGCATGCGGTGCCCTAATAGGTCTATACAAAGGGTCAGACTTGTGCATGCAAACGTCCAGACTGGGACACCAATGAAACAAACTTGAAATTCAACAAGTAAACTGTCTGCCGGAAAGCGTGTCGATCTGTTCGAACACAGTACAACACGTACACCACTGACTGAGTCATAGGATCCGATGAGTACAAGAGTCCAAAAAGTGCAACTCAAAAAAGAGCCACTCTTAGCCATTGGGTGATCGCTCACATGCCTCTGGCCTCCTCACCTGGCGGCTCATCCCCCATGTTGAAAATGGCCTTCAGGTGCCAAAGGTATTGCAAATGGGGCATCCAAGAACTATATATATATATATATAATTATATAACTTGAGAAACATCGGGGGGAGGGAGGGAGGGAGCTAGAGAGGGGGGCATGAGAGCC